AAGAGGAGCATCAGAACCGACAAACGTAAATATGTGGAAGATTTAGCAACGACGGCGGAAAAGGCTGCAAGAGAAGGAAACATGAGACAACTGTATGACACGACAAAGAAACTCTCTGGAAATCGCCGCAAACCAGAACGACCAGTGAAAAGCAAGGAAGGCGAGGTAATCACCAACATTGAAGAGCAACAAAACAGGTGGGTAGAACACTTCAAAGAACTCTTGAATCGACCAGCTCCACTGAACCCACCCAACATCGAAGCAGCACCCACGGACCTCCCAATCAATGTTGGCCCACCAACAATTGAAGAAATCAGCATGGCCATCAGACAAATCAAGAGTGGCAAAGCAGCAGGACCGGACAACATCCCAGCAGAGGCACTAAAAGCAGACGTAGCGGCAACTGCAAGGATACTCCACATTCTCTTCAATAAGATTTGGGATGAGGAACAAGTACCAACAGACTGGAAAGAAGGACTTCTGATCAAAATACCGAAGAAAGGCGATCTCAGCAAGTGTGATAACTACAGGGGCATCACTCTTCTCTCAATACCGGGAAAAGTCTTCAACAGGGTATTGTTAAACAGGATGAAGGACTGCGTAGACGCCCAACTTCGTGACCAACAGGCAGGATTCCGTAAGGATAGATCGTGTACAGACCAAATCGCAACTCTACGGATCATTGTGGAACAATCAATTGAATGGAATTCATCACTCTACATCAACTTCATTGACTACGAAAAGGCATTTGATAGCGTGGACAGAACAACACTATGGAAACTTCTTCGACACTACGGCGTGCCTCAGAAGATAGTCAATATCATACAGAATTCATATGATGGATTACACTGCAAAATCGTGCATGGAGGACAGTTGACAAAGTCGTTCGAAGTGAAGACCGGTGTTAGGCAAGGTTGCTTACTCTCACCCTTTCTCTTTCTCCTGGTGATTGACTGGATCATGAAGACGTCAACATCTGAAGGGAAGCACGGGATACAGTTGACATCTAGGATGCAGTTAGACGGTCTAGACTTCGCAGATGATCTGGCCCTTCTATCCCAAACGCAACAACAAATGCAAGAGAAGACGAACAGTATGGCAGCAGCAGTATATATATGAGTGAAGTGTCACGAATAGTAAATGTTTTTGAGTTTTAAATAAGTTAAGCTAAAAGAGTTTTCTTGAGAATGATAACCATATAGGTATTTGGTGTGTACATGAAGAGTAGGCACTTAGGCTGTATTTATAAGCAGCTAGCATTCAAATTAACTTGATATGTTTGTATTACTTTTAATCAGGAAAGTAATCTGATGCTAGGTGATCAAATCTTTTCGGGAAGTTTATGCAATGAGATTTTAGAAGAAAGTTTGGGATCAAGGGTTTAGATAATACTAGGAAGTCGTAGTGTGATGTGTGGTTAAGCTAATGTCATCTTTGCGCTGATGTGATATGATGATTTAGACAGAAGTAGATTCGCACCAAATCCCATGTTGATTCTTATTTACTGTATGTAATAGAACCCTGTAATTACACCCAGATTTCTCTACTGGGGTATAAGCGTCACTTCTTACGTAACAACTGTAAGTTAGAAGTTTAACTCTTGGTCAGTTTAAGACATTTAACTGATTTGATAAGAGTCTAGTGTTTGAATCCTTGAGCTATAGCTCAACATAATCGTACAGAATTTCTGCGTGTATACTAATGAAAGGAGCGACAAACAGTGTGGAGTAAGTAATTGAATCTAAACCTGAGATCTGGTTAAAAAGCTTTATGTAGTAGGCAACTCGTCATAAATTCTACTACCAATTAAATTTAAATTATGTATTTTACTTCAGAAACAAAAGGAAATCAACAGATATGAACATTGCTTTAAATTTCATGTTTCCTTTTTCTTTAGAATCATTTAGACGAAAATGGTGTGGCCTAATGATTGCTGATGATACTTTACAGTTTAGATCTGAAATGATTGAGCTGGTGTTGTTGGCGTTCAATAGTTTACCAATTAAAATATTCGAACGTACCGGCTATTTAGGAGCTGATCCTCAATTACTTGGCTCTATATTAGTTAGTACTAACAACTGTGCAAGATTTGAAAAACGTTTAGACACATGGATATGTAGTGTATGTTCAGAAGTTTTTTTTTTCGGTCCATCAGAAATTTTCTGCGAAACTGCCTCAGACAATACATTTCGTTTTGGAAGAGAAAAATTCATTCTAAATCTAAGAAAGTGCATAATCTCACTGGAATCCTTACATATACATGGGAACTTTATAGAAAAGTCAAATGTATTTAAAGCAATCTTACAGCCATTTCTCAACAACCCATCAACCCATAATACGAATGAGTTAATAACTACGTTTCACAGTCTTATAAATCCTTTAATTCATTATTATTTGGATAAATTTTTGAATAGTGAAGAAAGAAAAGAAAATACTAACAATCCCGATGGTAATCTAGAATATTTACAAAGCGAGAAACCAACAAATCTATTACTACAACTCATTAATACATATCACTATTTGAAAGAGGAAGGAAGTTCCAATGAATTCCTAACACTGACACATATTATTCATTTACTTGGTGAATGTTGTTTAATAACTAGGTATACAATGAATAAGACTTTAAAAACTCTATTGACGGTTCTAGCTATTAAACCAAAATGGCAAGATAATGTAAGAAAAGAGTGTAAACAATTTCTAGAAATTCAATATAACCATAAAACACAAAGATCTGCGTCATTATGCAGCCATCCTTTAGTGAGTTAAATTTTTTAGGATTTACTTAGATGATATGTTTTCATTTCTTGATCATATATCAAGTGATTTAGGCAAACACGGATTGATGATGATAAGATAGTATTCACTGAAAGATTTGCCGTTATGGTTTACATTAGATCAAACAGGAAATTTCCTTAAGGTTCACAGAATTTTACCTATTAATAAACACAAAGAGCATGTCACTTAGCTTGATAAATACATCCGATTTATTGGTCGGTAGGATTGGATCACTAAAATCCGTACATCTAATTTCTATAAAAATATAGCTTATTGGTCAATATTTGAATATCAGTGGTTTATGATAGAGGTCTGGGGTTACAAGAGAGTAAAAATCTCCCCAGCATTGGAGACGTGTGTAGTTGTTTAATATTGACAGGTAAGAGAACTTAGATTCAGTCTTGCACTTCATTTGAACTTCCAATAGAAAATTACTAAAAGTTAGAGAGGACTTAAGTTGTCTACTTGATAATAAGTTTAGTGGGCAATTTTTTTCTACATATCTTGAAAAGAAACTTGTTAGTTTGCGATTCGACTTTTAAGCTAAGTTAACTACATATTAAAGTTTTAACTTGTCATATGAGGAGTCATGTGTGTTTTGTGGTGAATCAGATTGAATTGATGATAGTTACTGATCGCTTCTAAAATGTCCCTTTGATAATACTGAGTACAACCGACTTAAACTGCCAAATGAATGTGGTTAGTATATGTTTCAAAATATTATTTGGAAGTAATAGCTGTTACAACTTAGTCAAAACAGAATTAAATCTGTTTTACTAAAAATGAATCTCAACCAAGTAATTGTCAAGTTAAGATTTATTTTCGTGAATGGTCCTAAACATGCACCAAAGCTTTACTATTCTGACTGCACACATATTTACAAACGTAGAGAATGGTATCTCATCTGTCAGAAAAGTTTATTTTATCTGTAAGACGACATGATATCTGACCTTACCGGCTATTACAACACAATATCCTCTTGATCCAGTGACAAAAGTAATTAAATGGATCGTGGTAGATTACGAGACAATAGTACACCAATTCACATTTTAAGGTACGATTCTTAAGTGCCCTAATTCTATCGATGTCTCCAGTTATCAACCTGTGCAAGTATGTTAGTGAAACAATAGTAATTTAATGATCCACTTACTAGCCGATGCTATAAAATCCTTTCATGTGAACTAAAAGAAATGAAATGTTTAAACATCCAAGTACGGTGACGGAGAGTATCATAACAAAACACACTAGTGAGAACCATGAGTATTAATTTGAAATCACCAAAACAATAGACCAGATCCTGTTCACTAGATTGGATTAGTGTGGTTGCATTCAAGTTTGTTCGTAATACTGAGGACATTTGGTTCAGTAAGATAGGACTGTTTTCGTTATTTGTATCTATTCCAAATGATTATTAAGAAAAAACTTTGTATCCTCTTATGGTGATCTTTGAGGAAGATCAAGACCAATGTTAGGTGGTGCTTTGTAATACACCGTAAGTAGATTTCATTAACGCTCTGGTTATTTAGCTCCGTGCGATTTTTAAAAGGTAATCGCCCAAGTATTTTTCCTTTCAGTCACATCTTTGCATGTCTTTGGAGCACACAAAATGTTTGGTTTGGACAAAGGCCTTAATTCAAGAGACGCTGCGTTTATGTGTACCTGGTTGGCCTTTTGGTTGTTTGCGTCAAGCCCTCCGCGATGGGGAAATACTAAACCAAGACATTGCAGAAGGAGAACTAGTGCTTTTTGATGAGCCTTCGTACTACTCAGATCCAGATTTATGGGCTGCTGATGAGACTGGAGAAGGGCCTACCAAATATCAACCTCACAGAGTATTTGATCCAAATCGCTTCATTGAAAAACGACCTATTGCAGGAAATTCGACAATGTTAGAGTTAAGTTTACCTGCACATTGGGCACGCAGTGTTTTTCAAAGATACACTGTATGTGTACCCTATCAATTCATTTATCTTATGCTGACTACAACTTTGGTACATTTTTTCGGAACTGCTTGGGAATCATATCTAACAGATGAACAAATCAAACCTGATTACACTGACGATTCTTTAATATGGTCCAATGATTTACCTAAAGCCGATCTTCGAATCAATTTTCCTTAATGGTTCATGAAAACTAAGTTAAACTGAGTAGGCCAGTAAAATTTTTATTTCATAAATATACAAAATTTTCCCCTAAATAAATTTCAACAATGAATTAAATCTAAATTAATTAACTTGAATTCGTTGACGAGATGATGGTGGTGAATGAGGCTTCCTCAAAAATTGATCCCAAGCAGTATTATCTACAGGCGATAGGACTGCTAACTTGTCCACTAACTGTTCAAATGTCAGTTGGGAAAATGAAGTACTGGTTTTGGTCTCCTACAAAAAAGAGAAACATTCACAAGGAAATATATATTAAACATAAAAATCATCACTGCTGTTAAAAATAAAGTACGGTTAGGAAGTGCTTACGATTAAAGTTGACATATCTCAGCTACCGAATATTAATGTGTACTGGGCTTTGAGCAAAAGTCACTTTTTCAAAGGTCAGGAATATTACACGATTGCTCATATATCATGTGCATATAATTTGCACATATATGAAGCGATGAGAAAGCACATTTTTGTGTGTCATCATAAAAACTGTCACCTAGTGAAAACTGTTCAATAATGAAGGTCTTATTTATAGAACAAGGAAGAGAGAATTCAGCGAAATTTCCTTTTGGACGAAATCATATACTCAAGCTGTTATTCATGGATCAAAAGGGTGAAGTACTAGCGGAGTGAAAAAGATAACAAAAAAAAGATGTAGGTCTCTAACAGTCCCATTTGTCCTTTGGGATGAAAAGATAGACAGAGATTTCTCTGTGATCGACAAGATTTAAATTTAATGTAAATTGTGAACGGACATCATCCGGATAAAGACAGCTTAAAAAACTAGGCGAAAATCTTAAAATCTTTAATAAAGTCGAAATACTTAGTGATAGGTGAATTGTAACATGAGATTAACGAGAGAGTTCAGTTGAAAATAAAGGTAAATACTTTGACTTTTTGGGAAAGGTGAAGCATAGTCGGCACATTAAAGTTCAATAATTATAAAAATGCAAAACTATGGTTCGCTTGGTTTGTTAGTAAACAATAATTCTCTAAGGAAATAGTAAACATAAAGTACTTAGGAACTTGCCACATATGTGTTTTCAAACCAAGCAACTACCGCCAGATGATTTTCAGGTAGGTTATGTTTTTCAAAGGCCCAATTTTTATTTGGCTGATTTGTAAGCTCATTACTAATCGAGAATTCATTGCCATCGTCAGAAAACTGGCATTCTATTGTTTTTAGGGGGATACGAAGTCCACATCCTAAAGCTTTAACGTAAGCTTCTTTAAAACACTAAAATAAATAATGAATAGTGAGTTAAAACTTTTGTTATTTTTGCTTAACAGAATGACATTAGTTGGATTCAGCGATTGGTAGTTGAGTATTAAACAATCGGACTAAGTTACGTTAAAACAACAGCAATAATTTTTTGAACAGTGTATTAAAAATATGGAATTAAAACAAATATGCATCGAATGGAAATGAAACAATTAATAAAGATATGAGGTAGAAGGGAGAAATGTGAAACAATAAACTGAACTATAGTAACTCCAGGTATAATGTAACAATTGGGTATCGGCACGTTTCGAATTAAACCTATTTTAATTGTTCATAAGAATTATTTAGGCGTATTGAGGAGTGGTTGATACCCTTAAGACGAGTAGCTGGAATTCGTAACTGCTTAGTTCATAAATAGCACAGGTATATTTAGAATGACTGATCTGTAAACATTACCGCTGAGTGAAGTGTCAGCGCTAATTTGTCATTATATGACAAGCACAAAGAAGAAAGGGGAACATTTTGATGGCTCAGAATCGATCACAATGGCGTAGGTGTATATACTATTTGTCTTCCTTTAAACTATGAGATTAGAATCGCTTTACATTTTTCTTTCTAACAACTAATTCTTTCTTCCCGTACTATGTCCTCACATGCAATCTTTCTTTTATATATTACCACCACTGAATTAACTACTTCTATGAATTCGGTGTTCATCTTGTTGTGCTAATGAGGTATGGCAACTTAGATCGATGCACATATGTGCCTGGTCCTACGTTGTAGCTGACTGACTGACTTTTGATGTTTTAAATAAGGTTACTCGAAAAGCCTAACTTTTTAAAGAAATCATGTTGCGTGAAGACCCTAATTTGGTCAGAGTAACTATGTTGTAATACTAAATCTTCTTAGGCACCAAAACAGTCTCAATGAGTTTTCCATTATTCAATGTCTTTATCGATAGTGCAGAGGTCGACTGTTCTCTACAATTCTTGACCAAATATTATATCTCATTTGACGTCAAATCATTTTAGGGCAGGTACGTTTTTCACGACACAAAAGCCCTACTATTCTTTTAAAATATACTAGATAACAATAATACAAAAACTTTTCAGCTGGGTATTTATTTAGTCTTTTTAAGATCAGGAACGTATACCAAATACCGTTAACCAAGCGACAAAAGGCTTAAACGGTATGCATTTCAACAACTCATGGTCCAATATTAATCGAGAAAACATCATAAGTAATGTCCAATGAATTTCGCAAGTTGGCTAGCCGTGTATAAGCGTACGCTGCTAATAAACACAAAAATATGCATGTTCTACACGACAATTAACATGGAATGTACTAACTGCATCAAATATGTTACTTGGAGATGGAATTTTACCTACCCAGTGTTCATAAAATTTTCTCATTTTTTCGGCTTCTGACCCAGAGGATAAAATACGGTTCACTTCTGTAGAGGAAAATACGTCCTTCATTTTCAAAACGAAGTCATTTACGGACCTTTGAAATGCTGACCAGGGATTCACAAACAGAACAACATTTCAGGCGAAAGTATAGATTAGAATTACAAAAGCCTAGTAACACAACTACAGTAAGTTAGCTGATTTAAAGAACATCACTCGGTCAATTATATACCATCTGAATGATAGAGTTACTATTACGGAGTAATAATAAGTATATGTTTCAAGTATTTGTAAATATTTAGTTGCGAAACTACTTAAACTATTGGAATCTTGGATAGTTACTGAGTATTAACTTTTTGGGAAGAGAAATGTCCCGAGATTATTAACTACACGAGTTTTAAAGGAGAGAAATCTCTGGTAATATCGCTTCGTGTTATTATACGATGACAATGCGAAGATATGGAGCCAATCTATTGTGTAAGACCAAATAACTTCATTCAAATTCAAATAAAATTCTTATTTCTACACTCAGTATGGCTTTTTAAACAGTTTGTAGGTGTCATTACCAAGGTTTGATTTGATAATTTCGAATAAATTGAGCATTGGGTTGATTGGGATATTACAAATATATTATTTTTATTTTTAAACAGTTGTTTCTTTTTTGATGTCTGACTGGTAATATCCAACTACTATTCGGAATATCACAAAAAAAACAAGATAGACGATGTTGAAGTGTACAATAGTAAAATACAGTACAGAAGGAGCTAACCTGGCAGTTCTATAGGCATGACATCAGCCCCACATCGTCCCTCAGAAGTTGCAGCAATTATGGTGAAGTCGCCACCATGTGAAATATTGAAGTCCAACACATTAGAATAACCCAAAATATATGGCCTTCCTTCCGGAGAACGTTCTAGTTTAACATCATGTGGAGAAATCTTAAGGTATCGTACAGCTGTTCCACGGATAAGTAACTTTCCAACCTACTAAGTTATGTACAAATACAAATTAACGTACCATAGAACTAAGTACATCTCGTTGGTAGGCAAAACGCAAAGCTACTTGCTGTTCGTTCAGAGGAAGACAGTTAAAGGAAAAAGAAAGTCAGACTTAGTAGGTGACCACAAACCATGGCAAAATGCTTCTCGAATTTTTGTTACTTTCATGAAAATAGAATAAAACAGGTAGGAATGTCGTGGACCATAAATACATCAGCTTCTTTAGGTGAAATAAACCATTTTGAATTTGTTTTCGTTTTAATGTGAAAAAATAATCAAATTGGGTGCATAAATTTCATACCTAAAAATCAAGATTGTGTAATCCGAACAATTTTATCCGAAGGCACGGTAAATATTTCGAAAGATTAGTATTTAGGAGTTTTGTTTTACATCTTGAAATTGACAAGAATAAACAACTCAGGCAAATATATATCAATAATAATAAAACTTTCAAATTACATTGACGTCCCTGGGCTACAATATGATCACATGTTGAATTAATGATACTACCCAAAATTGGCAGGTGGAACAGTACTCGAGGAAACTACCTAGTAGATAAAACTCATTCAGACAAACTAATGATTCACAGCTTCCCATTTATACGAAACAAACCAGTGACAAGCAGTTAGAAATCCAAAAAGTGAGTTTTAATTATGTTTCTGTCTTTACATGCGTACAATATAACAGTCAAGAAGTCAATGAGACGGCTGATGGGGTAAAGTTACTAACTATTTAATAACATTTACAATGAATGAATGGCCGTCTTATTTTGTTGACTTTTTCTAACACTATAGGCAATTTAAAAGCTAGAAAGGTTCACATAACAGGCTATAAGCCACACTTAATTTAGGTAGCTAAGATATGTTATGACCTATGAAATAATAATCAGATTTAGATCGGATTTTAGATTTGTGTCGTAAGGACAGAAGGCATACAGCCTATATCGTTCTTTTTGTAGTATACTTCTGTGAGTGTCTAGTCTTCTCTTGAATAAGTCAATTGAAAGTGCAGACACCACTACTTCGGGTAACAGGTTCCAAAAATTGATGACTCGGTGTGAGAACCTGTACGCCACGGGTATTTTGTTCGCTCTTGGTCTTTCTTCATGCCTGTTATGTCGTTTGAGATGTCCCGATCTAGTGGGAAGGAAAAGAGAGGATATATTAAGTCCAAAATCATTTCTTAGTATTCTGTACATCAAAATCAGATCACCTTTCAGTGTGCGATAGGACAGTTTAAAAGATCTAGCTTTTCAAGCCGCTCTTTGTATGGTAAACCCCGGAGTTCTAATATTGCACGGATAGCTGCTCTCTGTACTTTTTCCAGGATATCCGAGTCACCTAAACAGGGCTTGCAGCCTGAACGCAGTTTTCAAGCTTAGTTCTCACTAAGGTTGTGTATACTGTAGTGAACATGATAGTATCTAACTTGGTGAATGTCCGTCTTGAAGCCTATAGGCTTCTAAACACCTTAGCTGCAACTTCCCAGAAGTGGGCCGTGATTTTAAGATCATTACTCACTGTCACCCCAAGATCCTTGTGAGACCGGACCAAGAGTACGGGCACTTACCCTATGCTGTACCTATTTACGTTTGTATCCGCAAATTGCATGTAGACGCACTTTGCAGCGTTGATAAGCATCAGCCACTCTTTAGACCAGCTAATCACAATATTTAAGTCTGCCTGAAGTGCGCATGCATTTGCGTCTTCTGTTATTTCTCAGCAGGATTTTACATCAGCGTATAGTAACATTGGTGACTCAACTACACTTGGGAATTCATTTACATACAGTATGAGAAGTAAAGGACCTAGTAGAGAACCTTGCGGTACTTCATTAAGTAATGGTTTCCAGGAGAAATACCTATAATTTTTTTCTTAATTTCTGTTTACGACTTACAAGCGCCTTGTCAAATGCTTTTCTGAAGTCTATGTAGACAATATCCACTGATTTTCCATTGTCTAGAGACTCTATCCATCGCTCCCTTGCTATAAGGTTTGTTGTGCAAGATAAACTTTTTTTCTGAAACCATGTTGTGCACTATTTAACAAGTTGTTGGTTTCCATGAGTGTCATTATGGTCTTTTTGACTATTATTTCCAGTATTTTGACTACGACACTGATCAGTCAGTCAGCTACAACGCAGGACCAGGAACAAATACGCATCGGTTCAAGTTTCCATACCTCACTAGTGCAACAAGATGAACACCGAATTCATAGTAGTTACTTCAATGATAGTAATATATAAAAGATTGTGTATAAGGATATACCACAATGGTGAGGCTAACAGATCAGTAGTTTGATGGAAGTTGTCTTGGTTTTGCTTTGTGTATTGAAGTGACGAATGCATCCTCCAGTTCGTAGGTAACACACCTTGGCCAAGTGACAGTGAATATCACAATCAGTGGGGTCGCAATATATTGTGAAACTTGTCTCAGGATTTTGGCATGTGGTTCATGCGATCCTGTCGACTTTTTTGTGTCTAAAGTGCTAAGAGCCTTAAGTACATCGTTTCGATCAAAGTCGGCGGTGAGCAGACGGTTTGTTGACTTTGTATTCGGATCTAGTTCTTTGTCTAGAAGAGGCTCCTGAGTGAAAACTGCCCTGAAATAATTTGTCATAGCCTCTGCTTTCCCCGATCATCCCCTATCATTTCAGATCCACTCCCTTCCGTACTTAGGTTTGGAATTCAATGTTGAGTCCTTGTTCTGTAATTTATGTACGATAATAGTCTCTTAGGCTGTTTGAGTACAGATTGGACTAACTGCGTTTCATATTTTCCCAGAGCTTCCCGATTTTAATTATATACTTATTTCTTACCGACTTGTAGCGGCGTTCTGTCGTACTTTTTGTGTCAAATCTAATGGCAACGTTCCAACATTTCTTCTTTTGTCTTATTAAACGTCGGATATCCCGACCTATCCGTTGATGGTTGTAATTATTCTTCTTTATGACTGTTTAGGGTATATGTGGTTGAGTTACCCGACTGTATAACTGCCTGAAATGAGTCTATGTCTCTTCTACTGATCCAGTTTTTAACCGATGTTGCAGAGTTTGTCGCCTATATGTCTGCCTTCCATATTTTAGGACGGGCCGGCGCGACTGAGTGACAAGCTATCTCAGCCATGAACTTGAATAAGATAACTGCACGATCACCTCTTCCTAGAGGTGGGAGGAGAGTCATTTGGCTAACGTCAGCACTGTGTGTGAAGACTAAGTTCAAGAGAGACGAAGAGCTGGTGGGATCTCCAATGTGATGGAATAAAGCTAGTCCAATCGTGGTTTCTAACAATTTGCAATCAAATGATGTTATTGATAACCCTACTTCTAAATCTACCCAGTTTATATATGGTGCATTAAAGTCGCATACTGTAAGGATTTTTACCCCTATTACACTAGAACTTAAGTTTGCTTAAGAGGAAGTCATCTGCTGCACATTTTGGACTGAGGTATATTACAACTAATGAAATATCTTGCCGTTTACACTTCAGCCTGCAGCGCACCAGTTCACATGTGCCACCGACTCAACAGCTCGTATAGTTAAGGTACTTTTCGTGTACAGGATAACCCCACCTCTGCTACGGTTTATTTTATCAGCCCTACTGGATAAAAAAACAATCAACTGAATTTCATTGTCAAACACTTCTGACGTTAACCATGTTTTTAAGACCAATGACATCCGGGTTCTCTATATTCGCCACAGTACTGAGGTCTGCCATTTTATTTTGTAGGCTGAGAGCATTTGTGTAGCATACCTTTAATTCTGTGGAGAACTTTTCCTTAGCACCCAGAGTGGTTTGGGGGTCGTTTTGCTTCGAACCTTTACAATTTGAAAGCCCTTAGGAATGAGATATTTTCGCCGTTTCGGTAGCGCTCATTTATTACTACTTCTGCAGAACGTCTCGGCCTGCAGGCCGAGATCCTCAAATAATTAGACTACTAAGTAGAAGATCCTAATATTTACTGAACGTGTAGTAAAAGTTCACGTGTACGAGCCATAAGAACGTATGGGGATAAAATTAACTCATTCAACTAATCCTTGAGACCTTTGAGTTTTCGAAAATCCAGAAAAACCTGTGTTTTACATCTCACCCATCTTCAGTCCTCTAAATTTTGCTGCAAAAACACTTGATAAACAACCAAAATACTGACCATCTCGAATTAACTTCGGGTGAAATAGTTTCCCCTGGGGTTTATATAAATCAAATGACTAGTAGGTTTTGTATTACATAAGTATACTTATGTAATGTGAAAACATGATGCACTGTTGAAACTTAGTTGGTGGCATTCGCACTGTCTTACTTTTATAAAGTAAGAATTGGTTAAGCAAATATTATGGTAAAAAGTAATATAGCCAGTAAACTTGCGCAAGTTTACCGACCTCGCAAACGCCTGACCTTGGAAATGATAGGATCATCGTAACGCATTCGAAGTTGTATCTCGACAACTCTCAGTTTCGATTTCGAATAGTCCTGATATTGCACTTTTGTTTTTTATTGCTGTTTTCGAATGCTTTCATCAGTGAAAGTGCATTCTTTCTGCTTAGCAAGTCGTCTCTGTTTTCTTCCATCAAGCTCTCTCTCAGGACATAACCTGAACGCTGACGCGAACCACTAAATATTAGCATCTTATCACAAGGTTTACTCATAGCAATTTCAGACACCTGGCGGAGTTGCACAATACGTCCTTTGTCGGCTCTCACGGCAATTAGGCTTTAGGCATCAGGAACTGTAATAGTATGTCAGGTGCACTTCGTTGATCCCCACAGCATATGTTTCTTTGAAGATTCAGTTTATTACCGATGAGTCTATTACCAATTACAGAGCGTAAGACGTTAAAGTTATTAATCCCTCAATAAGGAAAGCGGGATTCTAGTCACAGCTTGCTTACTCTCCTTTTTGGAAATTTAGGGTCAGTGAAATGTTACTGTGCTATTGCCAAATCATCCGGCAGTTGGGTCATTGAATGTCAAACAGTTCACCGATCTTCGTCAATTTCAAGGACAACCAACGCACATCAATTGATC